TTTTTCGCCGCAATAAGGATAAATTGAACTGTCGCACAAGGGACACCTGTAATGATAATAAAAGATTAAAAGGTGAGAATTTACGTGAATTGTTTTCTTAATTTATAATATCTTGTATATAATATAAACGTGCGCGCGATAATAATTAATTATATTTTAATTTATATTATACATATAACGAAAATCGAGAAACAATGCCAGTGTTAAAACCTAATTTATTATTATAAGCTTATTATTTTCTCCAACAACTAATATGCGCTTCTCCCATACCTTACATTGCTTACCAATAGTTATCTAAAGTGCTGTTTGAAATGACAGTCAACAGATGCTTATTTCTTGATTTATCGTTTATTAAATAGTTTTCCTTAAAATCGAGTATTTTACATTTCCATCATTTAAAAACACACAGATGCTTGATCTAAAACGTATTGTATCTAAATTTTTCGAAGTAAAATATACATTTCTTCTTTTATCACTTTTCATGAATTTCTGTCTAACAGTTTGAGAAACTTTACTTTTGGCTTCCATAACACAGCATTTTAAATATATACATATACATATATTTTGATGGTATAAAAATGAGACTTACTTTGCAAAACTTTGTTTTAGACACATTGAAATGTTATAATGCTGATTTTAATATATCGTACTTGCATTGGGCAATGTTATCAATTCACATAATTTTGCACTAGTCCTCATTTTTTTATTGCATTCTTATGACGTGTAAAAAGTAAAAATATTATTTCTCTAATGATATTAAAATATCTAATATTTTTATTATACATCGTTAGTTAAATCGTACAATGTTTGAAAAATCTGTTCTATTCTTCGATGGGACTGAATATAAAAAAATTTATGGACTTACCTTTGCGGTCTGTATCCGGGCGAAGGAAAAGGATAATTTCCTTGGAATTGTCGCATGTTATTCTCTGGCGATGATGTTAACGGTGTATTCATCGTATTTGTTGCTCCTAGTGCATGATCGCCTGCCAGTTTTTCGTGTTCGTCTAAAAGATGCTCGTAAAAGGACTCATGTTAAACAGTATCAAAAATATCCCAGAAAAAATGTTTATTTATCAAATAATAATCACGTAATATGCGATTAAAAACTAAAAAAAGACAAATTTATTCTGTTACATTTTTATAAATAATATACTTGTGACATAATTATTATTTTAACATTTTACTGTTACAAATGTATAGTATGTATAATTCGCATACATGCGCATTAAATTTTGTATGTAAAAGATATTTCTGCATATTAAAGAAATTTACAGTTACTTAATACAGGTCATATCATGTTTATATAATTCATGTTCAGGGATTTTTTATCTTATACTTTTGTACGCGTATAGGTGGCATATGTGAAATTATTATTACGAATAATATAATTAGGGGAACCCGGGGCATAACGGGAACGCTAAGGTTAAAATTAATTTTAAACAAAATGAAAATACATAAATGAATTATTTTTGTACGAAAATTTTCTTTGAAATGTCTACTATAAGAAAAAAAATGGTTTTACTGTGAAAGAATAGTTTAAAAGGACGAAATTTTTATTTTATTGAGATCATGACTTAATCTGATTATCATTTTATGCGGGGCATAATGGGACTCCTCACGAAACTGATATATTTCTTATATATTAATGTTTAAAACTTATTAAAAATGATTTTTTAAATACGAAA